ACCATATTCATCTCTAACCTGAACCCTACTCATCTCTAACCTGGATCCTACTTATCTCTAATCTAAACCCTACTCATCTCTAACCTGAACCCTACTCCTCTCTAACATAAACCATATTCATATCTTGAGATTTGTTGAAAAAAAACCTCGGGTTCTTGATTTTGGAGACAAAACTTTTAAAGCATTTCATTATCTTTTTTTTTACAAATCATTGTGTATATATATATATATTTTTGAAACCCAATGTCGTAGACCTTAGATATTTCAAACTATGAATTCTGTTGAATGAAAGAATCTTTGTTTGTAATACAAAGTCTTACACCATCAGGTGGAAAATATATAGGTACATCAATCAAGCTCTTAAAAAATAAAAATATGAACAAATTATTCAAATCTATCAGGAGATAAGAAAACAAACAGAGCAAGTTGCAGGAATATAATAGTTTTTGTCATTAGCTTGAGGGATGCCAAAAACCTGTCGTTGGATGTAATAAACTGTCACGGGATGCCAAAAACCATCACGGGATGCCAAAAACCTGTCGTGGGATGCCATAAACTGCCACGGGATGCCAAAAACCGTCACGGGATGCCAAAAACCTGTCGTGGGAAGCCATAAACTTGGTACACTGTACTTGTTACACTGAACACAGTACACTGTACTCTGTACACTGTACTCTGTACACTGTACTCTGTACACTGTAGTCTGTACACTTTACTCTGTACACTTTACTCGGTACACTGTACTCGGTACACTGTACTCAGTAAACTGTACTCTGTACACTGTACTGGAAAATATATAGGTACATCAATCAAGATCTTAAAAAATAAAAATATGAACAAATTATTGAAATCTATCAGGAGATAAGAAAACAAACAGAGCAAGTTGCAGGAATATAATAGTTTTTGTCACCATCTTGAGGGATGCCAAAAACCTGTCGTGGGATGCCATAAACTGCCACGGGATGCCAAAAACCGTCACGGGATGCCAAAAACCTGTCGTGGGATGCCATAAACTGCCACGGGATGCCAAAAACCTGTCGTGGGATGCCATAAACTCGCTACACTGAACTCGGTACACTGTACTCTGTACACTGTACTCGGTACACTGTACTCTGTACACTGTACTGTGTACACTGTACTTGGTACACTCTACTCTGTACACTAATCTGTACACTGTACTCTGTACACTGTTCCCTGTACACTCTACCCTGTACACTGTACCCTGTACACTGTACCCTGTATACTGTACCCTCGGTACACTGTACACTGTACTCTGTACTCTGTACACTGTACCCTGTACACTGTACACTGTTGAGGTTCAGGGTTAGGACTAGAAGTTAGAGGAATGAGGAGAACCAGGATAAGGGTTAGGAGTTAGAGGAGACAGGAGAACCAGGTTCAGGGTTAGGAGTTATGGATAGAGGAGAACCAGGTTCAGGGATAGGACTAGAAGTTAGCGGAATGAGGAGAACCATGATCAGGGTTAGGAGTTAGAGGAGAGAGGCGAACCAGGTTCAGGGTTAGGAGTTAGAGGAGAGAGGAGAACCAGGTTCAGGGTTAGAAGTTAGAGGAGAGAGGAGAACTAGGTTCAGGGTTAGGAGTTAGAGGATAGAGACAAATCAGGTTCAGGGTTAGGACTAGAAGTTAGAGTAATGTGGAGAACCAGGATCAGGGTTAGGAGTTAGAGGAGACAGGAGAAACAGGTTCAGGGATAGGACTAGAAGTTAGCGGAATGAGGAGAACCAGGATCAGGGTTAGGAGTTAGAGGAGAGAGGCGAACCAGGTTCAGGGTTAGGAGTTAGAAGAGAGATGAGAACTAGGTTCAGGGTTAAGAGTTAGAACAGAGAGGAGAACCAGGTTCTGTGTTAGGAGTTAGTTGAAAGAGGAGAACCAGGTTCAGTGTTAAGAGTTAGAGGAGAGTGGAGAACCAGGTTCAGGGTTAGGAGTTACAGGAGAGAGGAGAACCAGGTTCAGGGTTAGGAGTTAGAGGAGAGAGGAGAACCAGGTTCAGTGTTAGGGGTTTGAGAAGAGAGCAGAACCAGGTTCAGGGTTAGGACTGGAAGTTAGCGGAATGAGGAGAGCCAGGATCAGAGTTAGGAGTTAGAGGTGAGAGGAGAACCAGGTCCAGGGTTAGGAGAGTGTACCAAGTACAGTGTACTGAGTACAGTGTACCGAGTACAGTGTACTGAGTACAGTGTACAGAGTACAGTGTACAGAGTACAGTGTACCGAGTACAGTGTACAGAGTATAGTGTACCGAGTACAGTGTACCAAGTACACTTTACTCGATACACTGTACTTGGTACACTGTACTCTATACACTGTACCCTGTATACTTCAGTACACTGCACTCGGTACACTTTACTCGGTACACTGTACTCGGTACACTGAGCTCAGTACACTGTACCGAGTGTACAGTGTACAGGGTACAGTGTACAGGGTACAGTATACAGGGTACAGTGTACTGAATACAGTGTATCGAGTAAAGTGTACTGAGTACAGTGTACCGAGTACACTGTACTCGGTACACTATACATTGTACACTGTACACTGTACCCTGTACACTGTACCCTGTACACTGTACTCAGTACACTGTATTCTGTACACTGTACCCTGTACACTGTACTCTGTACACTGGACCCTGTACACAGTACCCTGTACACTGTACCCTGTACACTGTACTCTGTACGCTGTACTCTGTACTCTGTACTCTGGACTCTGTACACTGTACTCGGTACACTGTACTCGGTACACTGTACTCGGTACACTGTACTCGGTACACTGTACTCGGTACACTGTACTTGGTACACTGTACTCGGTACAATGTACACTGTACAATGGACTCTGTACACTGGACTCTGTACACTCTGTACACTGGACTCTGTACACTGTACTCGGTACACTGGACTGGGTACACTGTACTCTGTACACTCTACTCTGAACACTGTACTCTGAACACTGTACTCTGCACACTATATCTATATATCTATATTGTTACACACTGCAAATATCTATAACATATTCTAAATATTTTACTCCCTTTTCCATACTACCCTCCCCGGCCCCCCTACCCCCTGCTCTATACTACTCCTTAATGGTTAGATGCTTTAGTGGATGATAATAAGACAAATACACGATCTACATAAAGAATTCACCCCCGAATTCGAAATTTGAATTCAGATGCCACGAACATCCCCAGAAACGATGAGGGATGCCACAAACGTCCCAGAAACGATGCCAAGTGCCAGAAACCATGGTTTTTGGCACCTCTCTCTGGAGGTGCCACACACATAGGGAAAAACGGGTAAAAGTGATGCCAAAAACGGGTTGACCAGTCCCAACCAGCCTTTTAAACCCAACCTATCCTTTTCCCTGCACACTATCAGGACATAATTTGCACTTGCTGAGGCACTATTCAGACATTATCCTGCTGTATAGCACTGTTTGGACATTTTTCATTTATCATTATACGCTATAGAGACATTCTCTGTAACTACAAAAAAATGTCCAAACAGTGCTATACAGGAGGAAAATGTCTTGACAGTGCCTCAGCAAGTGCAAATTATGTCCTGATAGTGTGCAGAGGGAATGACAGGTTGGGTTCAAGAGGCTGGTTGGGTTGAATAAGATGGATGGATAAAGAGCTAGGATGGATAAAGAGCTAGGATAGAATAGTAAGGATGAAAGAGTAAGGATGAATGAAGAACTAGGATAGAAGAGTAAGGATTGATAAAAAGTAAGGATGGATAAAAAGCTAGGATGGATAAAGAGCTAGAATGGAAAAGCTAGGATGAAAGAGTAAGGATGGATATTGACCCCCCCCCCCNGCTAGGATGGAAGAGCTAGGATGGAAGAGCTAGGATGGAAGAGCAAGGATGGATAAAGATCTAGGATGGATAAAGAGCTAGAATGGATAAGAGCTAGGATGGAAGAGCTAGGATGGAAGAGCTAGGATGGAAGAGTAAGGATGGAGAAAGAGCTAGGATGGAAGAGTAAGGATGGATAAAGAGCTAGGATGGATAAAGAGCTAGGATGGATAAAGAATTAGGATGTTTGTTGGAATGAAATGAATGTATGGGATGGATAGGTTGACTGGGATAAGTGGCATGGTTGCAATAAAGGAAATATGATATGATAAGTTACTCTCCAAAGGGCATTTTCCGATAATTTACAATTCCTAAAATATCGGAATGAATTCCGATCATAATTTTTAATTCTTAAATTATCTGAATTGAATTCCGATAATAATTTACAATTCCTAAAATATCGGAATTAAATTCTGATAATAATTTTTAATTCTTAAAATATCGGAATTGAAATCCGACTTTAAAGGAACTCTTTTCCTATCTTCAGGAATCTAAATTCCCGTTTTCCAGAATATTCCAGTCCAGGGTCCTGGATCCTTTCCAGTCCAGTCTAGGATTCAGTCCAGTCCAGTCCATATCTAAGGACTAGGTCTAGTTGGGGTTAAGCAGAAAGGATCAAGATAAAGAGAACTTTAACCTTGAACCTTGATTCTGAATAGGACTAGGCCAGGTTGGGTTTAAGGAGTAAGGATGAAGATAAAGAGAACTTGAACCTCGAATCTAAATAGGACAAGGCCTAGTTGGGTTTCAAGAGTAGGGATGAAGATAAAGAGAACTTGATTCTTGAATCTGAATAGGACTAGGTCTAGGTGGGTTAAAGGAGTAAGGATGAAGATTAAGAGAACTTAAACCTTGAACCTTTAATACTGATACCTTGATACTGACATCAAAATATTTTTCTTCTAACAATCTCCTTATTTAATCAGAACAAATAGTGGAATCTTCTTATTTAATCAGAACAAATAATAACTTTTTTTATTTATTTCAAAACCAGAATTAAATGAAAAACATAAAATTTTCAGATTTTTATACAAATTTTTCTTTAAGAAAGTATAAAAATAAAGTTGTAAACCTTCTGACATATGTAGGACAATAAAATTGTCAGTTTCTATATTATTGGTTATACAACTTTATTTAGGTTTAATTTACCATATCACGTTGATCTAGCATACTTAAAATTTTCATATTAAAAAAAAAGTTTACGTCCTGTAAAAAGTATAAAAATAAAGTTTTAAATCTGCTGATGTAGTTAACAAGAAATTCGTCATTTTCTATATAATTGTTTATACAACTTGAGTTTTACATGTTTATGTAGTTTCTGTTCACGTTGATCTAATCACTGTTCAATTACACTTGTTACGTAGATCTTGTCAACATAGGTTAAGTTTAAGATATCATGTAGTTGCTCTGTTAGGAAGGAATAACTGGGAAGACGATTATAATAGGTTTACTTTCTTCCCTAGCAAACAAGAAGTCAGAATGAGAGTACAATTAAGGGAATGAAGCTTCACCGGTAGTAAGGAAGAACTTGATACTATAAGATTATGCAACAAACTTGAAACTAGAAGACTCCGACAGTTTACGCAAGTTCTCCATCATCATCATCTGTCTCGTACTCCTCTACAAACTTTATAGGGCGGGATTTTCGGCCTCGTTTTGTTCCGGTTTGTCCTACTTTCTTCCTGTTGTTTTTCCCCAAATTTGCTACAAAGGTTTTTATCACTTTGTAGCCAATGGTTTGAGGCCACCCTATCTGTTTTAGACCGGTGAGAACTCTATCATTTCGAGGGGCTACGCCCTCCTCGATTTCCTTCTTGAATAACCTTTTGATAATGTTTTTTTGCGGGGTCTTGATCCCTCTACGTCCATGTTTTTCTTTCCTGTAGAGTGGACTATTCTCAATCTCGTTGCCGAATAATATTTTAGATATTTCTTGATCATCTTCTTGATAGTCGTCTTCCTCCTCCTCTTCTTCCACTTCCTCTTCTTCACCCATCTCTGCAGTCTCAATAACAAGATTCTCGAAAACCGGAGCCTCTTCTGCAACAAATACAAAAAGTTAAACTTTTTACACTTATTGTAACGTACTCTACTATAAATAGTTCATTGCAGGATTATGAAACAGGTTTTATCATGAGTTAATAGCAGAAAAAGCAACATAGTAATACGATAAAACTTGAAGTTTTACTACGCGTAGAAGCCCATTTGGTTTTTTTACATATAAAATCATTACTTTTTTGAAAAGTTTTAAATCTGCAAATATGCAAAATTTAAATTTGTACAAACAATATTTAGAAGAAGGATTCAAAATTTAAAACTTGAAAGAACTTGGAAATTGGTAGAAAGGATAAATATTGGGAGAAAAAATATGGAGGAAGTTTAAAAAAATTTAAAAAAGATTAGAAGCCATTGTCCTCAACTTGAACCTTCGAAAACACAGAAAACGGGATTTTTTAAATTTTATTTAGACACAAAGCGTCATAGTTTTAGCAACTACATAAGGCATGTGCAAATCTTACCACCTTTAATAATTAATACTTGTTGGTCATCACGTCTGTATACCCTGAGTTAAAATTACAAATACTCGACTCAGAACAGCATAAAAATGATAATTTGATTCTCAACATGCCATGTTCTTAAATTTAGGTTTTGACCTCCTGAGGTATATATATAATATATATATATCCATCTTTAGGTTAAGGGCCAATAGAATTTTCTAAGGTAAAACAAAATATAGTTAGTACCCATTCTCATTTATAATAATTTATAGCCCTCAATTTTAAAGAGGCCCAACAGGATGTGAGATATAGCGCAGGACTTCTGTGTTTGCCAAAAATCAATAATATCAATTATATATATATAAATATATAATATTTTACCAAATAACGGTGATGTAAAATCAACTTGATCTTTCTGCACGCCTCTGAGAAACGGTGCGGTTATCATTCTAGTGGCTTGATCCATGTCCTTAAAAATACATTAATTTAGTAAGTAATTCAATTTAATATATGCAAATTAGGTGTGAAAATATGTAAACTTCAAGGAAGGTCACATATCTAGAGTAAAGTTATCAAATTTATCTAATTTTGTATTATATTAAAACTATAAAGGTTTTATTTATTCATACCTTCGCATAAAATTTTTCATGTACAGAAGCGGAGTGCCCTAGTTGTCTTTGAAGATATCCTCGTTTTTCTTCACATAACATCTTACCTGAATTAATAAATTTAATTAAATTGCCTTGAATTTCAGCTTTTGGCCATAATCCTTCAAGAGAAGGACATGTCATTGTAAATTGTAAATAAGTACTTTTATTATACATTTCTTGCAACCTTATTTCTTTATTAAGAAACACTAATATTCTGACATTTACCACGAATAGGTCATTAAACAAAAACCGTGAATAAATTGTCATTAAAATGATCATCCTCATCCAAACACAATGTATAGTAATATTTATTTTATTCATAATTAAAATAAAATGCTGCTTTTAAATTTTTAACATCGAACTGTAAATATTTTTTTTTTAAGTTGCCCTTCCTCAATAGACTGCAAAATTCGAGTTACAACCATACCAACAATATATTTTTAATAATTTATGCATTTTCTGTACAAAATAACTTGAAATTACTTAGCAGTCCTATTACTCATATAAAAGATTTCTCGTTTCCACTATATCAGTTTTAACTAACGTTTAAAGTAAACTTATTAGAAACAGGTTATTAGTCCTTTAAACATTATTACAACTGAACAAAATAAAAATTAATTATAATCAAATAAACTAAGCAAAAAAAAATTCAAAAATATGTTTGAACAGATTCGCATGATAATTTTAAAGATCTGTGGCCTCATTGCAAGCCCCCTACCCTGTCCTAGACGCAGCACTAGGCCACAATAATTTTCTTATATTACCTAACCCTCAAATATAAAGATTACATCATATAATTATTTTTTCTACTTGATACTTGATAGAGAAATTTATAAATAATTAAAAATGTAGTTCATTTGAACACAATTTTGCTGTATTTGACTTTATTTCTTTTGAATTATAGTCAATATGAACATTAGTCAAAATGAATGTTAGTCAAATCAATCATTACTCCAATCGATACAAACCCAATTTCCATTAGATATACCTGCTGTCGCATAGGTGTGGTGAACGAGCTGCACAGGTGGTAGCTTCGCTCCCGTCAGGTTTCTGGCTATTTTCTTGGCTTGTGTTGATCTGATATATGTTGAAGGATTTTCTGGATCAGGAAAGAGCAGGTGGCCCTTGGTGATCCCTTCACAATTTGTATTGATGAGCTTCTTCATTGCCAAGGTCCCAGTCTGCGTGACAGAATTAGTTGAGAAGTTGTGACTTTTTCCTGAAATAAAAATTTACATTATTTTGCTACCAATGGGGATGGAGAAATGGTCATTACAAGGTCATACACTTAACAGGCTGCTGATACTCTATTGCCTGGGTTCCTAGCTTTTGTTTGATATGCATAAAGCCTAAGTTACACATTGTCATAATGCAAGTTCATTATAGGTCAATTTACTTAGTTAGAGGTCATAAGTAGGTCTAACACAGATTTTTTTGGCCACTGTATTACATGTCTTCCTTGCTTTGGTTTGATACAGGGGTGTATATTATTTTTGAGAATGCTATTTTTGCCCCCCCCTCTTTTTTCATGATCATATTTTTTCCCTAACACATGGCTTATAAACAGGTAAATTTTACAGGTTTCTGAAGCCCACGCAAACTTTGGCGGGGGGGAGAGGGGGGAAAGCCCCCTTACAGAGAATATTTTTGGAATTTAGTAGTATAATGGAGTGTTTTGGTGCCCTAAAAAGGTCAACTTCAAGGTCCCCCCTGAGATTTTTTTAAAGCATGTCTGATACTGTTCTAATTTTTGGTTAAATTTTGGTCTTTTTTGTGAAGATGGGGGAAACATGATAATGCTATTAAGGGACAAACCTGAAAAGTTTTGCATATTTTCCTCTTTTTCCTTCATTTCTCATTCCCACTCCCCCCTTTTCCTTCCCTCTTCCCCTTTTCCCTTTTATCTTCCCCCTTTTCCCTTTCCCTTTCCTTTTCCCTTACCTTTTCCCTTCCCTTTTCCCTTCCCTTCCCCCATCTTCATTTTTTCTTCATTTTTTTTCCCCAACCTCATTGAAAGCTCATATTTTTCATTATAATGAAAAATATACACCCCTGGACTTTGATATGCATGGCATAATTGAGACGTTTCTTATTCGTCAAGATCATTAGAGGTCATTAATTTTTTTTATTTTATGAAATCTAAACAGTAATTATGAGTGCACCCAACAAATTTCAAGTTTTTATAGTTTGAAGTAAAAACTACTACCATAATGATGAATATAATGATAATTGATTATCTTTTAAACTGTCAATATAAAAAAGCTTGCAATTATTTTATAATGTTTAATTTACATATATAAATAATAACTAGCCAGTAAAAGGTGCGCAACTAGACATTTGGCCCGGGGTTGGGGCAAGGAGCAAATATTTTGTGCAGTGCGAATTTTATAATTTGGGCATGTCTTGTAAGGGTTAAACTTCCCCCCCCCCCTTCTTCAGACTATGGTAGGCCTTGCCCCATTGCACCCCACTTGCCTGGCTAACCAATAGCCAGTTCTCTACAAAACCTTAAGTTTGGTACAAATAAAATGTATTTATTATGAACTTACCAATGGTTGTGTAGGTCCAAAAATCAAGGACTCCTAAGTCTCCAAACTTTTGCAGGATAGTTGTATATATATATGACAGCTTGCTAGATTTCTCGAAACCCTCGTAGACTTTCTTGAGTGTAGAAGCAGCTACATCATTTTCCCTAAAGTTGATAAAAATTTAAATATTGCAATTTATGCACGCAGTTAAGAATTTGTAAAAATTTCCATTTCCTTACAGTAAATATAAGTTTACTCCATTTTTTTGGCATGAACAAATTAATTAAATTTAAAGTGTTCTATTATATATAAAAATTACATTCTTCTCTCCCCCCCCCCACATATCAAAAGTTTGATTTTATTTTTATCAGAACATTCTTATAGGTTTTATTTGCCAAATTTCTGAATATTTTGGTTGTCAAACTTTTTTCCTATCTCACCTCTTGCCGTTCCCTAAGGTTAGGCTAGATATAAGGAGGCTAGCTAGGTTAACATAATCTTGGCTGCTTATGCCAGGTTCAGCAACTATCTTCATCATGGCATCATTAAGAAGACGTTGGTCTTCATTGATTTCTTCCAAAGTTGGAAGGTTGTCCATGTTGTTGAGTTTCTTAGTTTTTGCTTCATATGTCATCCTAGAAAATTTTCGAAAAATAATTTAATCAATCAGTTAACTACATTTTCAATGGAAAACAGGAGTGTACATTTTTCAGATCCAAATTCGATAACTAAAAAGACCTCATCAAATTTTATATTGCAGTGTATAATTATCCCTAAATTGAAGCATTTAAAAAACCATAAATGGCGCCGCAGCAAATTTTTTTTAAAAACGTTGGGTAATGGTATGGTGGCAATGGCTAAAAAGAAGTTGGGATTGATTATTTGTCAGTTGACGGTAAGGCAGGGAAATGTCGGAAAGAAAAATGTGGGAAAGGGGAAGGTACGAAAGATGAAGGTAGGGGAGGGGAATTTAGGAAAGGGGAAGGTGAAAGAGGCGAAGGTAAGAGATGCGAATGTAGGATAGGTAAAGGTAACAGAGAAAGATAGAACAGGAAAGGTAAAAGAAGTAACTGTTGAATAGTTGGATAGGGGAATGTGTGAGAGGGATAGAAAAAGGGCTCCTAGGCAATTTGTAGGGAGGTAAGAGTTGTGCATGAAAAAAAATATGATATAAGAGAGGGGAAGGTAAGGTAAGGGAAGGTATGAAAGGGTAAGTTAAGGGGAAGGACTTAAATGCAAAGGTATCAGAGAGGAGGGCAGGGAATTTGCAGATGGAAACAGTTATGCATCGATGGAAATGTTATAAATGATAGGGGAACATAGGGGAGGCAAAGGTATAGAGGGAAATGTAGGAAAGGAAAAGGTAAGAGAGGGGAAAGATGAAAGTGAATGGTACTTCAATTCCAGGACAAAATATCAATCAGGAAAATAAAATGAGAAATAGCAGTCTGAATGTTGATAGGCAGGTAAGAGTTATGCAAGGAAAAAAAATGTTATATAATAGAGGTCAAGGTACAACATGGGATGGTAGTGCAAGGGGAAGGTATAGAGGTAAAAATTGTAAAGGAAAAGGTTAGAGAGGGGAATGTTGAAAAGGGGAAGCTAAAAGCGGGAAGGAAGGAGAGGGTAGGGATCGAGGAAGGAAGGAGAGGGTTAATATGAAAGGGAAAGCCAAGAGAGGGGTACGTATAACAGATGAAGATAGGAGAGGGGAGGTGAAGAGGAAGGAAGGGTTTAGAGAGGGGACAGGAGGAGGGTAAGAAAGGAGAGGGCAAGAAAGGATAGGGAAAGGAAGAAAACGAGATTGAACAAATGGGAAATGTAGGAAAGGGGAAGCTAAGAGAGCGGAAGGAAAGAAAGGGGAAGCAGAGAGGAAGGTAGGAGAGGGGAGGGAGTGGTAACGAATGATAGGGAAAGGTAAGAAATCGGAATGTAGCAAAAAAGTGCTGCAAAAATTTGATATAAAATACCATAATCAAAATTATACCTTTTCGTAACATCCTTTGCCCATAAAGTATCTAATTTCCTCCTGAGCCTGGCAAGCTCATCAGCATCTCCTAGTTCCATTCCCTCAGCCATCTAAGAAATGAATAATTTTGACACACATATGTATATGACTCTTGAAAGTCAATTCAGTCCAACTTTAGCCATTCATAAATTATTACCCTATGATATTTTTGTTGAACTTCGTATTATTCTAAACTTTTAATAGGCACAATAATACATGACTATTAAATCATGAAGTGCAAGAATAACATTTTTACTGTGTTTNCCCGCCAAGGACCAACAACAGCGGAAGTGATGGTACTCTTTAAATCTACCTTTTCTTCTAAAAATATTAGTTTTTCCAAATCTCAAAAAAACAGTCATTTGGGCTAATAGTTCTAATGCAGAGTAAATACACTTCTTTAACAACTTCTCATGCATTACGCAAAACTTCTTATAACTATATTAGCTATGCTATTATACTGCATTCTTTCCGGGATTTTTATGCATTATGTTATGAATTTTTAAAATTCTTTTTGGTATTAAATTTGAGGAAGCACATACAAATATTGGACTTATACCCCTGATATATTACCATAAAATATTTTGCTTTGTTTCCACTGGGAACAAATACTATCGGACATTAATAAAATTACTTTTCCCCTAATCTTTTCCCTTGTTTCTCGCATGTTTCCTTTTTCTCTTTTCTTTATCGGAATCATTGGAGGGAAAAATATCTTATTTTCAAAAATAAAGTTTGTTTCCTTTGTGAATTATCAAAACACAGTGACCTAATAAATTCTCTAATTTTTTACCGTTTCTTTCACTCTCCACCTTTACAGTTCCCCCAATTTTTTTCCTTACCACATTTTTATACCTACAGCCCACATTATAACCTTGATGTTTTACTCAAACCCCCCCCTCCACGCAATATAAAAATTGTACATCCCTGCCCTTCACTTTTTATTCCCAACTTAAGTTTATATAATATGTTTCTTTACCACAATCATCTGGGATATCGCAGTTCTTATGTATCTTCCATGCTGGATTTTGGTGAATAATGAGGGTTTCTGCAGAGTGGCTATGTCCTAAACAAATAAAATTATACAAGTTTTAATAGTGATCAAAATATTTGACAAAAAAAACTTATGACCCCAAAGCAAACACATAGTTTTGTTAATTGTCATGCTCACTTTTAAATATATTCAAAAATTTTAAAAAATTTTCTATTAAAGTTACTTAGATTGAACTGTGAAATGTATAAATCTTGAAAAAATTGGAAATACACATTAATTATAATATGTGAAAATAACAATAGTGCTCGTTTTGTGGGATATGCTGTCTGAAACGGTCATAATTTGGCAGTGTAAGACAAGCTTTAAGTTAAACTTAAACGAACAAATGTGGAAACTTTTCTTACATGTCAAATGTAGGCCAACAAAAAAAATCGATTGAATTACTACAGGGGTGTATATAATTCAAATTTTTTATTCTTTTCCCCCACCTCAATTTTTTTTTATTTTCTTCCCCAAATTCGATAACTAAAAAGACCTCATCAAATTTTATATTGCAGTGTATAATTATCCCTAAATTGAAGCATTTAAAAAACCATAAATGGCGCCGCAGCAAATTTTTTTTAAAAACGTTGGGTAATGGTATGGTGGCAATGGCTAAAAAGAAGTTGGGATTGATTATTTGTCAGTTGACGGTAAGGCAGGGAAATGTCGGAAAGAAAAATGTAAATTTTTAAGTAGGTTTGACTAGTTGAAAAAATTATTCAGTAATGAGCATTTTTTGGTCATATGTTATGAAGTTGTGCCCGGAATGTGAAAAAATTTTAATACTTGTTTTTTCAGCATTATAAATATTGGGAAAATTAATTATGAAAAACTCTCCGATTTTAGATAAAGTTATGTAGTTATATGGAGAGGTAAAGAGCTCCAGCCCTTTCCTTCACTTCTTTATATGCCAACCTTTCATCGATTCTCTACCTTCCACTTCCCTTCGTTCCCCTTCTCTATCTACTCTACCTTCTCCTTACCTTTCCCTTCTACTTCCTTGCCTCTTCTGTAGTTCCTTATATCCCTCTTTCCCTACCAACCTTACCCGTCCCTACTTTTCCTCTTACCTACCTATCCACATCCCTTCCTTCCTCCTTCCCCACCCTTCCCTTTTTTCTGTTACCCTTCCCCTTTTACTTTCCTTTTTTCCCCTTTTCCTTTTCTTTCCCCTTTACTTTTTTCTTCCCCTTTCCCTTCCCTTTTTCCTTCCCTTCCCCTCCTCATGGGTCTTTCATTTCTTTCCCCCCCCCCAGGGGGGGGGTAATTTTATTATTTACACCCCTGAATTACTATGCTATATTGTGAAACTTAGAATAATAATGTGGTTTGAAAGCAGAATTGGAGAAAAAAATGGATTTCTTTATACACCACTGAAAACATAATAATGATCAAGCTTACCACAAAAGTATTGTAGTTGACAGACTTCAAAATATCCACAGCTTTTCCACCCTGTTTCAGAGACTCAATCAACTGCCAAAAAATTTTATAATAAAAAAAGTTATCAACTCAAACAGCCAAACGGATGGACCGAATGGACTGAAACACACAAAAAAAAAATCTCTACTGACAACGTCTGCACCAAATGTGTTTTTAAAATGCACAACATTTGTTATAATCAATAAATTATTCAATCAATCAATCAATCAATCAATCAATATTTTTCACATCTTTGGCGAAAGTACTTCTCACCAACGTAGCATGTTATTTCTTTGTGTGATTAAATCAAACAATTTCAGCTGGTATATCTGGACAGTATCATCTTTTTTTGCCCTATTTATATTATTATAAATTAAAGTAACTCTAAGTCATATTCCGTATTCCTAGATAGTTTTAATCTTTTGTAAACAGGTTCAATATTATCTTCTAAATATTATCAATGTTAGTAAACTTGTACAGAACATTACGTCTGTACAAGTAAACGAAAATTAATAAGTTATAAAAGAGAATATTTATTCTGTACAAGTATACTATGTTTTATCATATCTAGGAGTAGTGAATACTATGTTAGTCTGATGATGTTTTCTATTACAGGAATACATCATGATACTGGAAGAGTCTCCAGGGACAGGCTATATTTATGTTATTGTTTTGGTTACTTATATATATTGTTTATATATGTTTCAGATAAGAAACTTCTAGGCTTGGGGGTTTTATATATATATCAGCTATTGTTGTACTTATTCATTTCCAGAGAATATGAGTCACTGATACTGTTATGCCAGTACTCAGGTACATTAGTCAGTTTATCATACTACTCATGTCCTTGTAAACAAAGATTTATATATATTAATAATGAAACAGAATATTACTTCTGTGCAAATCTTTTTTATCAAAAAATGTTTCTATTTGTAAAATAGTTTTGGAACTAAGTTTTTACATTTCTAGTTTGATATTTCACAATCAGGAGTTTAATACTAAATATACATTTAGTTGAACAAAATACTAGTTAAGCAAATAAACATACAACAGCAGTTTTCTGAGTTAATGTTTACAAAAGATACGTTAGTTAGCTAGAAAAATAAATAAAATATTTTAAATTAAATAGATGAAGATTTTTCAATTATAGGCACACAGCATCGAAATAGTCTACAAGCTCAGAAATTACAATTTTCTTAAAAAATCAATGAAAATATTTAATACAAAATTCCTAGTGGGAATCATTTTGTAGAAGTCAAGAAATGAAAACGTATTTATAGAATTTTAATATGCTACTCACTTTCTATTGCTCTTGTAAAATATTTCCATAAAGCGATAATTCACACAACAGAATTATTACAAATTAGTAAAATCTTATCATGCTTTATGTACGTCTAAATTTATGTACAATGTACATGCTACATGATACAACTTTCGTTGTATTCTGTTTAAAGAGAAAACATCCGGGTTATTTAGTGAATGCTGGCAGTGAAGAGGGGGGGAATCCCCATGTACCATTAC